CGAGTGGAGCGAGTGGAGCGAGTGGAGCGAGTGGAGCGAGTGGAGCGAGTGGAGCGAGTGGAGCGAGTGGAGCGAGTGGAGCGAGTGGAGCGAGTGGAGCGAGTGGAGCGAGTGGAGTGTGTGGAGTGAGTGGAGTGAGTGAGTGGAGTGAGTGGAGTGAGTGGAGTGAGGGGAGTGGAGTGAGTGGAGTGAGTGGAGTGAGTGGAGGGAGTGGAGTGAGTGGAGTGAGTGGAGTGAGTGGAGTGAGTGGAGCGAGTGGAGTGAGTGGAGTGAGTGGAGCGAGTGGAGTGAGTGGAGTGGAGTGGAGTGTGTCTGTGTCTGTGTCTGTGTCTGTGTCTGTGTCTGTGTCTGTGTCTGTGTCTGTGTCTGTGTCTGTGTCTGTGTCTGTGTCTGTGTCTGTGTCTGTGTCTGTGTCTGTGTCTGTGTCTGTGTCTGTGTCTGTGTCTGTGTCTGTGTCTGTGTCTGTGTCTGTGTCTGTGTCTGTGTCTGTCTGTGTGTCTGTCATCCTGTCTGTCTGTCTGTCAGTCTCACTTTCTCTCTTTCTCTCTCTCTCTTTCTGTCTTTACCCGCTTTCTCGATCGCCTGTGCGACGGATAGCCTTCTGATTTTCTCAACAAAAGGCACTAAATGGCAATGGGAAATGTCCCAATCAAGAGTTAGGCTCGTGGGCTTTTACGCGCTTTGCGTTCAGACCGTCCCGAGACGGTCAAGGAACGGGCGCGAACAAACCCTTTTTCCGGAACATCCAAAACAGGGCCTTGCCAATTTTGGGCTGCCTTATGATCTTTCCAAACAGGGAGGGTCAAGAAGACCCGCCTTTCGGGCAGAGGGTGGGTTGCGGACGGAAACAATTTTGAGAGACGGGGGCTATGCGCCCCAGCTCCGCTTCACCATGTTCAGAGCGCCCTGGTCCAGCTGCGTCAGCGCAGTCTGACGACATGAGCTCGTAACAAGTCTGAAAGTCTGAAGACATGACCTTTTGAACTGGAAACGCGGAAGTTGCCATTCGTGCAGCAAACAGAGGTCCGAAGGGTTGCACTCGCTTGACGCAAGAAGTGAACGTGTCTTTGAACTGCGACCCCGTCAAAGCAGCTGCTATCAGCCTTGCCACCGTTGGTAAAGTGTTCAAGAGGAAACAGGCAGCCTGTTGCGCAAGCTACGACGCGATAGCAAACCAGCCCCGTCCTCAATCTCATCTGGAGCTCGCCGTCGCAGGAAAGATCTAGGCCTCCAGGTCGCTCACAGCTCACAAGCTCCGGATCTGGCACACTTTGGGGACTGGGTTCAGTTGCGCTGCAAAGCTGTGTTGCTGCATCCCAACAAAAGCAATGAAAAGGATTGAGTCGAGCCTGCAAGTTGACGACTCAAACAACGCCGTTTCTGAAAATGGCCTCAACTCCAAGTGATCAACGTCTTCATAACCTTGTCTCACCTCTGCGCTTTGTCAAACGGCGAAAAATGAGACGCGATTCGGGCGCCCAGGCATGTTGTGAGTTGGGGTAAACAAGCCGCAAAAGACAAACCTCAAAATAACTATTCCCCTGTCCCAAAGGAGAGGGTTTCCAACGAACAAGCAACCGTACAACCACAACCCAGAAAAGGGGCCCCGTCCAAAGTCTCTTTCCCAGGACACTCATTCAAGGCCGCCCAAACTTGAGCCAATTGTCATGAGTTAGTTGCTAGCGCAACGTCCGCAAATGACATCTGTCTAGCAAGGGCGGAGCGTGTCAAAACTAAAAACTGATAGGAGTCAAAGCTGACACTCACAACATCCCGGGCATTAAATTCCCGCCACAGGGATTTAATCGTGGCAGCGCGGCCCAACGCACACGGAGAACGCCCATTTTGAAGAAAGACTCCAGGCCACTCTCACGCAAGTTCTATCCGTACCAGAAGACATGTAACCACGTATAAAGAATGGGCACAATCATGCTGCGTAGGCCTAGCGGCCACAGATGCCCAAGAGCTAAGAGCGTTTCGTGGAAAATGGAGTAGCCTCCATTCATCCGCACCCCTCGCCACGCAGAATCATCGTCCCCAGCGACCCAGCTGTTTGCAACGGGAGGAGGCAAGTGGTGTTGTTTGGGACGTGCTTTCCTTTGCCGTTGCAAGCCACCACCTGGCGAAGAGCCGCAGGGTCTGGCCCTTGGCTTGCTAGCAGGGATGCTGGTTGGTCTGAACCGATTTGCGTGACAGGCGCAGCCCTTTGGAGATGGCTGCATCTTGGTGTACGTTTGCGTGACATGGACAGCATTTGGTGTCTAAAGGGCTCGATGTTGTCGGGGCCCCGCTTTGTGTGACAGGCGTGGCACTTTGGAGATGGCTTGCAGATTTCGTGGCAGGCGCAATATTTCCTGCATGTGTTTGCGTGGCAGGGGCACCATTCATAGCTGTCGAAAGGGACTTGAGGTCACACCCAGACGCAGGAAATGCTGCGCTTGCCACGACATCTCCAAGCCATCTCCAAAATGCTGCGCCTCACGCAAAACGGGCCCCCAGCCGCGTGCGCTCAACAACACCCCATCCTTTTAGACAGCTGCCACACTCTGCCCCTGCCACGCAAGCACACACCCAGATGCAGGAATTGCTGCGCCTGCCATGAAAGCTGCAACCATCTCGAAAGCTGCCTGTCACACAAAACGGGGCCCTCAGTTTAGACGGCTACCAAATGCTTCCCCTGCCGCGCAAACACACGCCCAGACGCAGGCGCGCCTGTCAGGCAAACAGCCACGCTCTCGACAACATCCAGGCTCTTTAGACAGCTACCAAACACTGTTTGTGCCACGCAAACAATTTTTGCACCTGCCACCATCTCCAAAATTCCAAGCCTGTCACGCAAAACGCGGCCCTCAGCAGTGCGCTTGACCCAACTTTGAGGACACGGTGTCACCATCTACACGCATTGATCCTTTCCTCCCATTTGCCATCGGCGGACCGTGGGGACCCTCATCTTCCAGGCGCTTGACCGGGTGACACACAATCAGTTGCTGGGCCAGATCACTCCAAGGCCGTCGCCCAGTGAAGTCTGACCTTTCCGGGCCGCGCGCTGCCTGGCTCGTCGAGCGCTTTTGCTCGAAGACTGTCGGTGTGGAAAGCGGCCCTTCGCAGTGGCTGCACACCGCACGCCTGCTCTGAGCTTTGCCACGTGAACGCGAAATATCCGTGTGCATTTTCAGCATGGTTGCGGCGCAGGGTGATATTCTACGTGCACAGTCGCGCTAGTTCATTGCATGGGGAATTGCAGTTTGTTGCAATCATGTATCCTTGCTGGCAAGTTCTCTTCTCGCAATAGATGTAACGCTTCATAATCCAATCATGGCCACACCGCGGAAAAAGCTCAGTAGGGCATCCAAGCATTCCTGCGGACTCAGCAAGGTATTCAAGGAGTCAGTTGCTGATAAAGCTTCAGTGACGAAGAATGCACTGATTGTTCAGAGCTGACTGGCCAGGGCCGAGCAAGCAAAGGAAGCTAAGAAGCTTTGCCTTCAAATCAACCCGGCGCAGGGGAGCAAAATCTGCGATCCAAGTGCGAGAACCAGGAGTGCATCAAACTCAGCTCCTGTCTGAGCCACGAGGATGTTCAGGTCCTGGAGGGCCCGTGTAGTTTGGCATCCAAACTTCAGTGGTGCACCGCTGTGAGGTCTGTGCATCCATCGACAGTGGCCCGGCGAGCGCACTTGCGCGCATGTTGTCTCAACGCTGCGCACCTTGGGATCTTCGCCTTACTGACGGGAAGCACTTCCTGAAGGCAGCGCGCGACCTCAAGCACAGAAGCGCTTCCGCCCAGCACTGGTGTTGACATGTCCGGGATCTATTCGTTGAACCTGCAGGTTTTCAAGAAAAACGCGGCGCCGGCATTGCCGCAGCCCAAGGACTCCGACACGACTCCTGTCACCACCAAGGCTTCGAGTCCGACATCAGTGCTGCCGCAGAATCAGGAAAAGCCCCTGTCTCCGACTCGGCTGAGCAAATCCGACGATATCAGCTTTCACCCAGCAGACAGAGGAGGCAGCCTCATGAAGCGGCCAGCTGATTTGTTTTTCACTCTGCGCGACTTTCGGGCTGGAATGCTGCTTGCGGCAACAAAGGAGCTGCAGGCATGGTTGCAATGCCAAATTGCATCGATCGCAAGGCCGACCTGACTTCGCACGATGCTTCTGAAAGGGCGGTTACTTCGACTTGCGCTGACATGTCTTGCTTTCGGGCAAGCGGCTCTTGACTGCCTTCGTGCCCAGCAACCGCTGCTGGCCAAAGGCGCCCTTGCCAAACTCGAGCAGTCGATGGGGTTCAGTTGGCAAAACAAGACTGTCATGAGCCATGAAGCTGTTGGCGGCAGGTTGGCAGTGGTGTCACGTGCGTTGCGCGCACGGCATTGCCAACACCCACGCAGGCTGTTTGTCGGCAAACTGCTGGCTGGTGGTCACGCCAAGAAGCAAATTGAGGATTTCGTTGATGGGTTCAGCCATCCTGCCCGGCTTCGTAGTTCCAAGGCGTCCGGCCCTTTGAAGCGCAGCACTGCTGGGACCATCAACTTCTGCAGTCTGCTGCGCGTCTTTGTCAGCCTCTTTGTCGGGGACGGCGCGACCCCGCCCCGCAAGCAGGACTGCGCAGCTTTCTATCGTTCGATGGAAGTTGCGGATATGCTGCGTTGGCCAGATCCCATGCTTTAGAAGACCAAGGCGTCAGAACTGGAGCGCAGAATCCGGCTGCCTTTGGGCGGCTTCCAGCCTACGTGTCGCCTTGCTCTGCATCCGCTTCTTGTCAGCTGCTTCACACAGGAACAGAAGCACAAAATAGTAAAAAAGCTGGCGAACCACGCGCTCGACACAAGCAAGGCATTTGTGCTGTCAGCTGCCCTGCAGCACATGCGCGGGCTCTCCGACGAAAAGCGCATGTCACTGGGTGTTATCCGCGTTCTTTCCAAACGACCTGCCCTGCGCAAATAGTCTCTTTCTCTCCCGATATGTAGCTGATGCGCGCAAACTTGGCGACATCCCCGAGCAACATCCCCGAGTAACATCGTTGACACATGGCTATGGCACAGCGAGGGGCAACAGCACACGCGAGGCCCAAGTACGACGTTCAAATATGAGCGTTTTCTTCTGTTTGCCTACCAATCTCCAACTGCGAGTCTCCGTTCTCCCGTGGCGCCGCACCGGTACTCCGCAGCTACAAGCTTTTCCGGCGCCTCGGCAAATCTGACTGCGGCGCGCAACCAAAAAACCGCAACAGCCTGGCACAGAAACGGCAACCGCTGCCCTGGCTCCCCCAAAAGAGACCCCCTTACATTTTCGAAAAAGGAGTGGAAAGCGTGGGTTTCAAGGTGCTTCCAGGATTGAGAGCTCGGCTTGCAGCCAAGTGTTCTTGCAAGCGGACATTGCAACAAGCCCCGTCTGCGGAGCGAACCCAATGCTGGGCGCTCCGGCCACACACCTGGCACGAGACCCCAAACCCCCTCCTCATCAGGCTGCGCCCATGCCTCTGCTTCCTCCCAGACTGGCCGATGGACCAATAGCTGTCCTCCAGCTGCTGAAGCAGCAGCCTGGTCAAAGCTTCGATTGAGCCACGCTCTCCTTGACGGTCAAAAGAGACGTGTAAAAAACATGGGGATGTGTGCCAAACCCTCCATCTGAAAAGGCTCAAAACACTGAATAACCTGCTTTCTCATGGAAGCTGGGTAAGTTGACTTGCGGTCTTGCGCTCCACTGGCTTGAGCGGTCATTGCGCGCCCGACTTGGTCAACGCAGAATGGAAGTAGTACGCCTCTAACACTCTAAACCACCCAACACCCGGCGCCGGGTCAGGTTCGGCTTGAGCTCCTGCGCACAGCGCTCACAAGAAGGCTCCGGCTTTCGCCTAAGCTTATTGGATTTGGGGGGTTTCTGGTTCTTGCGCAAGCTCCCACGCTTCTTTGCCAGAAGACTCTGCACTCAATGATTGGCACCAGCCGGGCTGTGACATGGAGCTTCAATTTGCTGCCGCCTGCTCAGCTTCCTGTCATCAACATAGGCTGCTATTCTGTGTGCAGAAAGGCAGCATAGGCTGCCTTTCAAGAGGTCTCTACCTATATATATTCAAACAAATTGGCCTGGAAGAGGCGCGCCCATTTCAGCACCTCGCCGACTGCGAGCCATTGAGACACCTCTAACATGGTCTGCAACTTGACCTCGCTCAAGCTCTTTGCCAATGGACGAGGGGCGCCGCTTCGGATGAGCGCTTCAATCAAGCAACTGCTTGGTCACATGTTTAAAAATGAAGAGGGGGCTTTGCGGGATGCGTTCTAATGCAACGCAATTTGTCAGCGTCCTCGTGGTTTGCCATTGCCTCGGCGAAAACGCTTGTCCAGTCAGATGGCACACAGGCGCAAGGTGCCCGATTGGTAAAATTGTTTACACAAGTCCTTGCAACCATCATGGGAGGCTGAGGTTCCAGGCCACCGGCCTTCTCCCAGATCACCACATGGGTGAGAGGACTAGCTTTATGCACTTTCAGCAACCTTGTCCAGCTCAAACGCTGGAGCCTGAAGGCCAGCGAGGGCCGGCCTCACAAAGTCCCCCTTTGTGAAGCGCAAACCCGCGAAAGAGCGCGGCTCCAAGCAGCGCGAAAGCAAAAGCCGCGAGCTGGCCATCCAAGACTTCTCCAAGCCCCTTCCAATGCCCTGACCCGTTGCCTTTCTCTTCTCCCATGTTTGGCAACCTGCACCCTCCCCCACTTTTTGCAAGTCACGAAGTGGGAGTTTATGAAAAGATGGAAGCCTCCAGTCGGCTGTCTTGGCACCGCCCTTTACAATGTCCAAGAACGGTCCTTAGTAAGCCTTAGCCTGGACACGCAGCCAAGAAGGTCAAAAGGGCAAGCATGGCTGTTCACCAATTTCAAGGATACCCCCAGTGGGCGAAAAAGAGCAGCAAAAAGAGCTTGTCTGCTGTCTGCAAATGAACCATGTCGCGGTTCAAAAACAGCATTGCGTCTCACAAGAAGTTTGCTCCAATTGACCACTGTGCCGAGATTTCAGAATTGACGGAATTCGAAAAGTTGAGACTCTTAGGTTCATAGTAAAGCATATCTCCTGTCCCTCCCGCGGGGGCTTGCGAGCACCTGACCACGTTGGCCTGGGCACAACGGGAGAGAGAGAGAGAGAGAGAGAGAAAGAGAAAGAGAAAGAGAAAGAGAAAGAGAAAGAGAAAGAGAAAGAGAAAGAGAAAGAGAAAGACAAAAAGAGAGAGAGGGGGCGCAAGGAAGCAAGGGAGGAAGCAAGGAACCTAGAAAACAAGGCAGCAAGAAAGCAAGGGAGCAAGAAAGCAAGTGAGCAAGGAAGCAAGAAAGCAAGGCCAAGAAAGCAAGGAAGGAAGGCCGAAGCAAGGAAGCAACACATAAAAAAAAGAACGGAAGGAAAAGAAGGAAGGAAGGAAGGAAGGAAGGAAGGAAGGAAGGAAGGAAGGAAGGAAGGAAGGAAGGAAGGAAGGAAGGAAGGAAGGAAAAAAGGAAAAAAGGAAGGAAGGTCGAAGCAAAGAAGTAAGGAAGTAAGGAAGTAAGGAAGTAAGTAAGGAAGTAAGGAAGTAAGGAAGTAAGGAAGTAAGGAAGTAAGGAAGTAAGGAAGTAAGGGAGGAAGGAAGGAAAGAAGGAAGGAAGGAAGGAAGGAAGGAAGGAAGCATGAAGATGAGGCAGAAGTACGGCAGTCACTCAAAATAGTGGTTTTCCTGCAGCGCAGGTCAGTCGCCAACAGCTCCAAGTGAGAGCCCACTTCTGGGTTGAGTGGTGCATGAAGGTTGTCAGTCTGGCACTTAGGTAGAGTCCAACTGCCTCGCTTTTGCTCAAATGATTTGAGCACCTTCGGCCCCCAAAAACTGTCCTGGCCACGTCCTGGCCACCCTTTGTCGGCCCGCTCTCTGGGCTCCCTGGCACTGGGGCGGGCGCCTGAAACTCCAACGCCAAATCAGTTGATCTGGGCTTAAGGGCTTGCATAACTCTACACCCTTCGGAAACTCAACACTTCCCAGCTGCCTCTGCTTGCGGCTCTGGCAAAGCCCTAAGCGGCTTCAGCTTGCGCCTGCACAGCACCCGTGCCGGGCACGGCGCCCGGCTGCTGCACCACCGCGGTGGCACTCTCCGTGGCCTCGCTTGACCTCACGCTCGGGAGCTGGGAACAAAGCAAAAGACCTGCTTGTTGTTTGTTATTTTGCTATTATTCTACTTTAGCTTCAGCAATTCTTCATGCTTCCATGCGTTCTGAATTGTCATGCGTGTATTTTCTCACAGGGCCCGAGGAGGAGGAGGGCCGCTCGATGCCCCACAAGCTAGGGATTGATACCAAGAACCGTTCCGTTAAGCGAATCGGACTTCGTCGCCGACACAAAAGCCACTAAGCAATTGTTTACAGACTCCACAATTTAGGGGAGGCAGGATTCAACCTTGTGATGGAGTTTCAAGGCGCATGCTTTGGCCCAAAGAGACAACTACACACTGTCTTTTGCCCTTTGTGCCGTAGGTTGGTGGATGTTGGGGTTGGCAGCCCGCCAACATCTATCACAGGTACATACGTGCCTCACTCAGGTTGGTTCCCAAGACAGTCACCCGTTGGCTGTCTGCAGCAGAGTGTCCAACATTGCGGTGACAAGAAAGCCCAAGGGCCAGGTATGGCCTGCCTTGTGAACGATGTAGTTCTGCACTACAAACCAACCAGAGGCAGATCCAGTCGCAGTCATTGTTACATCGTGTTCCGGGAAAAGATGTCCATTCAGGCTTGTTGGGAAGTCGTGAAAAAGACGAGCTTGTCAGGCGCCGGGCGTTTTGGGTCGTGCTTTGTGACGTCGCATACGCTGGTTGCGCTTCCACTCCTGACGCACACGCTTCCACTTTCAAGCCGGCAGCCCAATCGAGCGCAAGCCCAGCATATTGGATGTTTTGCAAAATAGGGCTGGTTGGTTTCCTTGTGGTTTCTTCAAATAGCAACCGAAATGCCCACCATTGTACGAAACTCCTATATCCATTTGCAATGTCGACTCATGTCAGCAAAGCGTTGTTTTTTCCCGGCTTCCATCTTCATGCCCCCACCTTCCGTTTTGGAAGCCGGGCAGGGAGGGAACTGTGTCAGGCACTGGCTACGGCAAGGCACAATAAACAATGCCCTCTAGTTCAACAGCCGCACCTCAAATCCCGCCAGTCACGTCACATGAAAAGCGAGTGAAACAAATAGATGTAGATCAAGGGCTCACAACTTCAGGATCCTGAGCAGCCAAGAGAAGCACACTGGTTGAGCAAAATAATCAAATTTGCTCTTCTCTTCTCTATCTCTGTCTCTCTGTCTCTCTTTCTCTCTCGCTCTCTCTCTCTCTCTCTCTTTGTCTCTATTTCTCTCTTTCTCTCTTTCTCGCTTTCTGTCTCTCGTTCTCTCTCCCTCTCTCTCTCTGTGTCACTATCTATCTCTCTCTCTCTCGCTCTTCTGCCGGTTGGTAAAGGCTTTAAGATTGTAACTCCTGTAAAATAAGCTCTTGCATCACTTTCTAAACGTACACAGTATACATATGATTTCCCCAAGCAAGACTTCCAAGAAGAGAAATAGATGTCATGGCAAAGGTCATTGGTTGCTTAGCAAAGATTATTAATTGTAAAATCCCAGAATTAATCGTTGTGGAATTGATCCCAGAGGCAGGAATTATTAAGATGTAAACTTCTGGATGTTCAAAAAAAACAAAGTTACACCAGCAGAGACCCCAAATGTTGAGGACTGACGGGCAAGCAGAAACATGCGAACGGCTTGCGGCTTTCTGCGCTTCAACACGGATGAACCAAAATGATGCAGTCGTGAACTGCTGCATGTGCGTTGCTGGCGTGCTTCGCGCTTCAGCGCCGCGCAGGAACTGAGGATGGGCAACGCGAGCGATAGCGTGCGAGCGCACGCGCGTGAACGCAGTGTGGCTGTGCAAGCTCGCGGTCAATTCAGACACATGCGTGCGTGTGTGTGTGTGTACATGTGGAACACAACACACATGTGCTCACCTGGAATACAATGAAACGCGTGTCCAGTTCAGACACACATGTGTGTACGCGTGGAACACACGTGTGTTCACCTGGAACACAAACACGTGCAATTAAAGCACACATGTGTGTACATCTGGGACACACATATTCCGACCACTGGAACACAAATATGTGTCCAGGAACACCGCGTGCGCAATTAAAAAGCACACATGTATGCACACGTGCAACACGCATATGTGCGCGCGTGAGCAAACATAATTGCGCACCTAAAGCGCACACACACACATGTGCGCACCTCAAAAAGAATCATGCGTTTTCTGGAGCACATACATGTGTACACCTGGCGAGCAGAATGTCGTCAGATGCAAAAAATGTTCACCTAGCACATAGTATTGTGTCCACTTGGAACACACATCTGTCCACCTGAAACACAAACACCGTGTCCAAGTGGAACACACATGTGCGTACACGTGGACGGTCACTTGGAACACACATGTGTGTACGCGTGAACACACATATGTGCACACGTAAACACTCCCATAAATGTGCACCCGGAACACACACCAGTGTGCTCATCCGATAACAACTGTGTGTTCTCCTGGAACGCAAACACACATGTGTGCACACGTGAACACACATATGTGTACACCTGGGGAGCACACATGCGCACACGTGAACACACACACACACACACGCGCACAAGGGAACACACACATGTGTACTGCACACGCGAACACAAACAGTTCTGCGCACGCAGAAACACAGACACACACGAGTATTCATCTGATAACAAACACGTGTTCTCCTGGAACACAAACACGTGTCTAGTTGGAACACAGAAGTCTGCACACGTGAACACACCTGTGTACACGTGGGACACACACGTGTGTACACGTGAACAGTTCATCTGATAACAAGCACGCACTCACCTGAAACACAACACGTGTCCAACTGGAACACACATGTGCGCACACGTGAACACAAATGTGTACGCGTGGAACACACATATGTGTCCAAATGAACGCACATACATGTGCACGCGGAGCAGACCCACACACACTCACACACGCGTTCATCTGACAACATGCATGTGTTCTCCTGGAACACAAAGAAGTGTCCAGTTGGAACGCACATGTGCGCACACCTGAACACACAAATGTGTACACGTGGAACACATATGCGTACGCGTGAACACACATACATGTGCATGCGGAGCAGACACGTGTTCATCTAATAACAAGCATGTGTTCTCCTGGAACACATACACGTGTCCAGGTGGAACGCACATGTGTGCACACGTGAACACACAAATGTGTACACGTGGAACACATATGTGTACACGTGAACATACATATGTGTACACGCAAACACACACATATATATATATATATGCACACCCGGAACACACACACAAACACACACGCGCTTTCGACTGATAACAAACATGTGTTCCTGGAACACACACATGAAGGGAGACAAAGGGAGACAAATGAACCCGACCACCCAGAGAGCCGTGCCAGGCATCCAGGCTCAGAGACAACGGAAGGCAAATGATTGAGATACAGGGAGACAAATGAGCCCGTCCACCCAGAGAGCCGTGCGACACAGGGAGACAAATGAACCCGTCCACCCAGAGAGCCGTCGCAACATCCAGGCTGGGAGACAACGGGAGACAAATAAGGGAGACAAAGGGAGAAAATGAATCCGTCCCGCCAGGCATCCAGGCTATGGCTTGGCAATAGGCGAGTCACTTTAAACGAATTTAGAACCCCTCACAGTAAACTGTTTGGGGAAAATGTTGATATAATATAGGATATCGTCCAAATATTGGATCAAAGAAAGGTGAATTATAACAATGAAGATCACCCAACATTACAAGGAAGGAGTGTACCAGATAAGATAGGTAATGTGAATAAAAGCATGAAAGCTGCAATCAAGAAAGAGAATGGATGTAATGGGATGGTGCTTTTGATATAAGACTCACATTTAGAACGGTTGTCCAAAAGTCAAAAGATGTAAGACATGAAGATATACCGGAGATTTATAACCCTAACATAAGATTTCCTGTGATTATGTATGAGCGTTCTCTTGGGGCGGTTGGAGTGTCCCAAAGTCAGCCCTGAACACAAGCCCATCTCCAAAGCAAAAAGCATGATGCACAGGAACAACCGGCCTGGACCAAAGCAGAATATGCTCCGTAAACTTGGTGTCCACCAAGACACTTTGATACTAAAATTGTGGTCTGTGATGCAAAGCCCTGAGGCGGAAATTCAGAGGGCGCACATCGTCTGCAGAAGGAAAAAGAGGAAAACCTGCAGTAGGAAATGAAGGCCCCTCCCAACAAGGTGCTCTTCCTGTGAAAAGGTGCAACAGTTAAGCGCGCTCTGCCGACCAATGTCTGTCTCCACAAGCTCCGGCTCAGTCTCTCTGGAGACCTGGGGCCGAGCTGACTTGAACCAGGCTTGTCAGGCATCACAAGCATTGCACTGACCACGGCGTCTTCTTTCGCACTTATCATTCACATGTTGCTTCTAGGCGCAAAGCAGATACGCAAAGCTGGAATAGCTCTCGACGTGAAGTTCACACAACTACAGAACATTGTCCAACAATTTCAGACGTGGCCACTAGCAACGTCCCCCAAATCCTCACTGCGCACGTCAGGATCAGCCTTGAAGGCCCCAGCAGGTTCTTCCGGCTAAGCGTTTCCCCGAACGCTGAAATTTGCCAACTTGCTAAAGAAACAACATGTCTGAATCGAGAAATCGCGTGAATCGAGCTCGCAAATCTCCGGGCCCCACGTCGGAGGGCGGGTAGCTCGGTGGCAGCTCGTGGCTCATGGAGCCTCAAGCGAAAGCGGAAAAGGCCCCGGCTTTTTGGCCCAGCCCCGCGTCGGCCCTTCCCCTGGTAAAGAGATAAGCCGGGAGCCCAAGCTACTACCTCGTATCATTCAACCTAGGCTCTGAAAAAACGTCAACGTGATTTCTTCGTTCAGGGCTTGCCGGCTTGAAGCATGCAAAGAGAATCCTGATGTTGTGTCTTCACTGGACTGAACAAGTCGAGCTACGCGTCGAATTGCCGAGCAAGTCCGGAGTCGAACACATCTGCTCGTCAGTGTGGCCGCTGTATCCCGCAAAAGCAGGTGGGTCATGCACAGCTGCTCAAAAACAAGACCGAAACACCCCTCCCCTGCATTTCCGGAACTCCGCCGACCCCTTGTCCTGAAAGATGCTGATTGTGTGTGTAGCGGGCCGTTTTTCAACAGCTGTCAACATGCTCATCCGAGAAAGTTTCGGATGAGCGTGGTCCAAAGCCAACTTGATGGTCGTCGTAGCAGTTTCTGCGTCACCAATGCATCCTGCGCATCACCAATTAAGCCTAACGCTGATGGTGATGATGATGCTGAGGGGTTGTGACATGCTGATGCAATAGTGATGACCTTCCACCCTTCCCGTGCGCCTTCCATCATCATCCGGTATTGGTTTCTTCTGCATACTTGAAGTGTGGCGTTAGGCTCAATTGGTGATGCAGAGGATGCTACGATGACACTTATGACCACAATCTCTTAGCCCAATTGGTGATGCACAGGATGCATTGGTGACGCAGGCGATACTACGACGATAATTACATTTGCGTTGGACCACGCTCATCCAAAGCTTGCTCGGATGAGCAAGTCCTCGTTGACAGCTGATGGAACTGGCTCGCTCGTGCTGATGAACATCGCCTTTGTATTCCTATTACACACACTTCAAAAGTCACGGTAGGCACAGTTGGAGATGCCGGCGATGCGTAGCGATGCTCATCAGCATCCTGATCATCACTGCTGGAGATGCTATGGATGCGTAGCGATGATTATCATTCACGCGGCTCATTGCCGGCGATGCTGTGGCTACGTAGTGATGATCATCGCCTTTGTCTTCCTCTTGTTTGAATTTCAGGAGTCACGTTAGGCACAGTTGGAGATCCTGGCGATGCGCAGCGATGCGTATCATCAGCCTGATCATCACTGCTGGAGATGCTACGGATGCGTAGTGATGCTTATCATCCTCCTGACCATCACTGCTGGAGATGCTATGGATGCGTAGTAGTGATTATCATTCACGCGGATCGTTGCCGGCAATGCTGTGGCTACGTAGTGATGATCAGCGCCTTTGTGTTCCTATTATATGAATTTCAAAAGTCACGTTAGGCACAGTTGGAGAAGCCGGCGATGCGTAGCGATGCTTATAATCATCCTGATCATCATTGCAGGAGGTGCTACGGATGCGTAGCGCCGCGATCATCACTGCTGGAGATGCTATGGATGCGTAGTGATGACTATTTTTCGCGCGGATGGTCGCCGGCGAGGCTGTCGCTACGTAGCGATGATCATCGCCTCTGTGTTTCTATTATACGCATTCCAAAAGTCACGTTAGGCACAGTTGGAGATGCCGGCGATGCGTAGTGATGCTTATCATCATCCTGATCATCACTGCTGGAGATGCAACGGATGCGTAGCGATGCTTATCATCATCCTGATCATCACTGCTGGAGATGCAACGGATGCGTAGTGATGCTTATCATCATCCTGATCATCACTGCTGGAGATGCTACGGATGCGTAGCGATGCTTATCATTCACGCGGCTCATTGCCGGCGATGCTGTGGCTACGTAGTGATGATCATCGCCTTTGTATTCCTATTATACGCATTTCAAAAGTCACGTTAGGCACAGTTGGAGATTCCGGCGATGCGTAGACGCTTATCATCATCCTCATCATCACTGCTGGAGATGCTCCGGATGCGTAGTGATGCTTCTCATCATCCTGATCATCACTGCTGCAGATGCTATGGATGCGTAGTGATGATTAACATTCACGCGGCTGATTGCCGGCGATGCTGCGGGTACGCCGTGATGACCATCGCCTTTGTAATCACTGCTGGAGAGGCAACGGATGCGTAGCGATGCTTATCATCATCATGATCATCAAAGCTGAAGATGCTATGGATGCATATTCATGATTATCATTCACGCGGCTCATTGCCGGCGATGCTGTGGCTACGTAGCGATGATCATCGCCTTTGTATTCCTATTGTATGAATTTCAATAGTCATGTTAGGCACAGTTGGAGATGCCGGCGATGCGTAGCGATGCTTATCATCATCCTGATCATCACTGTTGGAGATGCTATGGATGCGTAGTAGTGATTATCATTCACGCGAATGGTTGCCGGCAATGCTGTGGCTACGTAGTGATGATCATCGCCTTTGTGTTCCTATTATACACATTTCAATAGTCACGTTAGGCACAGTTGGAGAAGCCGGCGATGCGTAGCGATGCTTATCATCATCCTGATTATCATTGCTGGAGATGCTATGGATGCGTAGTGATGATTATCATTCACGCGGATTGTTGCCGGCGATGCTGTGGCTACGTAGTGATGGTCATCGCCTTTGTGTTCCTGTTACACACATCTCAAAAGTCACGTTAGGCACAGTTGGAGACGCTGGCGATGCGTAGTGATGCTTATCATCATCCTGATCATCACTGCTGCTATGATCACAATCCCTTATCATCTTCATCATCAGGATCAGCGTTAGGCTCAATTTGTGATGCACCGGATGCGTTGGTGATGCAGAAAATGCTACGACGACCATTAGGTTGGCTTTGGGCCATGCTCATCCGAAACTTGCTCGGATGAGCGCTCATCATCATCATCACCATCATCATCCGGTGTTGGTTTCTTCTGCGCACTTGAAGTGTGACGTTGGGCTCAATTGGTGATGCAGCGGGCGCTACGATGATACTTACGATCACATTCTCTTAGCCCAATTTGTGACGCACAGGATGCATTGGTGATGCAGGCGATACCACGACGATAATTACATTTGCGTTGGACCACGCTCATCCGACACTCGCTCGGATGAGCGTGCGCTCGTTGACAGCTGATGGAATTGGCTCGCTCGTACTGATGATCATCGCCTTTGTATTCCTATTACACGCATGTCAAAAGTCATGTGAGGCACAGTAGGAGATGCCGGCGATGCGTAGCGATGCTTGTCAGCATCCTGATCATCACTGCAGGAGATGCTACGGGTGCGTAGTGATGCTTATCATCATTCTGATCATCACTGCTGGAGATGCTATGGATGCGTAGTAGTGGTTATCATTCACGCGGATGGTTGCCGGCAATGCTGTGGCTACGTAGTGATGATCATCGCCTTTGTGTTCCTATTATACACATTTCAACAGTCACGTTAGGCACAGTTGGAGATGCCGGCGATGCGTAGCGATGCTTATCATCATCCTGATCATCACTGCTGGAGATGCTACGGATGCGTAGCGATGCTAATCATCATCCTGATCATCACTGCTGGAGATGCTATGGATGTGTAGTGATGATTATCCTTCACGCGGATCATTGCCGGCGATGCTGTGGCTACGTAGTGATGATCATCGCTTCTGTTTTCCTTTTATATACATTTCAAAAGTCACGTTAGGCACAGTTGGAGATGCTGGCGATGTGTAGCGACGCTTGTCATCATCCTGATCATCACTGCTGCAGAGGCTGTGGATGCGTAGTGATGATGATCAGCCTTGCTACTGGAGATGCTAGGGAGTCAATGATGGTTGTCGTCGATTATCACATGTGCTGGAGATGCTAAGGATGCGTAGCGATGATTCATCGTCTTGATCATTCTGCTGGAGATGCTAGGGGTGCGTAGTGATGAGTATCATCGTTGCTACTGGAGATGCTAGCGATGCGTAGTGATGATTACATCATTCTGCTCATGCTAGGGATGCGTAGATGATGTGGCTAGGTAGTGATGATCATCGCTTTTGTATTCCTATTACATACATTTCAAAAGTCACGTTAGGCACAGTTGGAGATGCAGGGGATGCTACGATGATACTTATCATCGTCATCGTTGGAGATGCAGGGGATGTGAACATGATACTTGTCATCAGCATCATGGTGATCATGATCCACTGTTGGAAATGCAGGGGATGCTACGATGATAGTTATCATCGTCATCGTTGGAGATGCAGGGGATGCTACGATGATACTTGTCATCAGCGTCATGGTCACATTCCCTGCATTGTGACAATCCTGCCGCCCACATTTTTCGCGGCGTAGTTTTTGCCGCGAAACTTCGCGGCAGTTTAGCATCCCCAACAGCTCCCGAGCCCTCAGCATCCCCAGCATTATTGCTGCGAGGCTGCTGCTGGCAAACTCCCAGCAATCCTTGCATGCGCCATCCGGCTGCTCGTAGTCAGCCCTGAGGCCTCCGCACAACCTGCACTCCCTGCGTTATGGCAATCCTGCCCGCATTTTTCGCGGCATCCAAATAAGTCGCTGCTACTCATGATGGCATGGATAGGCGATCACGCTCAAGTTCCTGCAGTCGCAGTCTACCCAGTGACCAAGGGAAATGCTACCAGATTTCTGGCAGTCCACACTCAAGGACCAAAACAAAAATAACTCCTGAAGGCTGCCGTCTGTTCTCACGTTGAGATCGCCCCTTAGAGGCTGAGATTCGAACCTCAGCATCCTTATCATCATCATCATCTTCATCATTGGTAATGCAGAGCAAGATGGGCGCTGTGGCATGTTGCGAAATGTTGCGAAAAGCCACTTCCAACAAATGGGCGCTACCAAGTTTTGAACAAAACGTGCGTGGTCGATCCGTTTCACGGCGCAGTCTTCTCCGAGGGGTCGGCGGCACAGGGAGGCAGCCCTTAAATCCGGCCGCGCCCCCCGCAGGGGGCGAAGAGGCTGTGTGTAGATCCCTCCCTGGGAAGGGGTTTACCCCTCCCCCACAGGGGTGTCCCCCTGCGCCGCCGACTTTCTTTCCCCCATATGTATCAGCCCATAGTGGGCCGAGGCTCAAGAAACACAATTCGGCTCTTGGGGGTACCCCCCCCGGAGCATGGGCACCAACTTGGGCCCAGTTTTGCGCAAACACTGGAAAACACTGTGCTTTTCTACGTTTTTGACGGCTGGAAAGGCGCAAAATGTGGAAACCTGCTTAACAGTGAGGCTATACTGATCCCCATCTAAGCTCGGTTTTGGGCATGGTTTTCGCTCAACACATGAGCAAAACACTGTGTTTTTGACACTTTCGCGTGGGCGCAAGGCCTCGGAAAGCGTGAAAAACATAAGTTTTTTTGCGGAAACCTGCTTATTGGTGAGGCCTCACTGGCCCCCGCCAAACCCGGCTTTGGAGATTGCATTGCCTACAGCAAAGTGTCTCGAAATAAGAGTGAGTGAGTGAGTGAGTGAGTGAGTGAGTGAGTGAGTGAGTGAGTGAGTGAGTGAGTGAGTGAGTGAGTGAGTGAGTGAGTGAGTGAGTGAGTGAGTGAGTGAGTGAGTGAGTGAGTGAGTGAGTGAGTGAGTGAGTGAGTGAGTGAGTGAGTGAGTGAGTGAGTGAGTGAGTGAGTGAGTGAGTGAGTGAGTGAGTGAGTGAGTGAGTGAGTGAGTGAGTGAGTGAGTGAGTGAGTGAGTGAGTGAGTGAGTGAGTGAGTGAGTGAGTGAGTGAGTGAGTGAGTGAGTGAGTGAGTGAGTGAGTGAGTGAGTGAGTGAGTGAGTGAGTGAGTGAGTGAGTGAGTGAGTGAGTGAGTGAGTGAGTGAGTGAGTGAGTGAGTGGAGTGAGTGAGTGAGTGAGTGAGTGAGTGAGTGAGTGAGTGAGAGTGGAGTGAGTGGAGTGAGTGAGTGGAGTGAGTGGAGTGAGTGGAGTGAGTGGAGTGAGTGGAGTGAGTGGAGTGAGTGGAGTGAGTGGAGTGAGTGGAGTGAGTGGAGTGAGTGGAGTGAGTGGAGTGAGTGGAGTGAGTGGAGTGAGTGGAGTGAGTGAGTGGAGTGAGTGGAGTGAGTGGAGTGAGTGGAGTGAGTGGAGTGAGTGGAGTGAGTGGAGTGAGTGGAGTGAGTGGAGTGAGTGGAGTGAGTGGAGTGAGTGGAGTGAGTGGAGTGAGTGGAGTGAGTGGAGTGAGTGGAGTGAGTGGAGTGAGTGGAGTGAGTGGAGTGAGTGGAGTGAGTGGAGTGAGTGGAGTGAGTGGAGTGAGTGGAGTGGAGTGGGTGGAGTGGGTGGAGTGGAGTGAGTGGAGTGAGTGGAGTGGGTGGAGTGAGTGGAGTGGAGTGGAGTGGAGTGGAGTGGAGTGGAGTGGAGTGGAGTGGAGTGGAGTGGAGTGGAGTGGAGTGGAGTGGAGTGGAGTGGTGGAGTGGAGTGGAGTGGAGTGGAGTGGAGTGGAGTGGAGTGGAGTGGAGTGGAGTGGAGTGGAGTGGAGTGGAGTGGAGTGGAGTGGAGTGGAGTGGAGTGGAGTGGAGTGGAGTGGAGTGGAGTGGAGTGGAGTGGAGTGGAGTGGAGTGGAGTGGAGTGGAGTGGAGTGGAGTGGAGTGGAGTGGAGTGGAGTGGAGTGGAGTGGAGTGGAGTGGAGTGGAGTGGAGTGGAGTGGAGTGGAGTGGAGTGGAGTGGAGTGGAGTGAGTGAGTGAGCGAGTGAGCGAGTGAGTGAGTGTGTGTGTGTGTGTTGAGTTGATGTCAGTGTGTGTTGCGACGTTGCAATGGGAAAGGTACTTACAACTGGCATGTTTTGGAGGCGCGGGCATTCTGCATGCAGATTGATTAGTCGTTGAAAACATGACATCCTGGTTCGACCGACACTTTCAGGCGGGCTGCGCCGCGGCACGTCGCACCCGCGCTTGCGCTTCTCACTTTGGGCACCCACTCACTGAAGCTAGCCCAATTTTTGCGCTGCGGCAGTCGTGGGCTCGCCTTCAACGGCATCTTCAAGACCACTTAGCACTTCCTAACCGCTGCGTAACAGCTGCAGCACACCAAAACATGGTTTGCGATCAAGCACGCCGTGCCGCGCCAGCTTCAAATGGCGTACGCAAATCTACCCTCTGATAAGCCCCATCACACACCGCAGAGAACCGCAAGCTTGTATATTCAACTGAGCGCTCAACTGGGGAAGCCTGAAGCGACCAAGTGCCAGAGGTAGATGTCACCGGGCGGCGCCGCTGTTTGAGAGCTCAAGTCTGCGCAGCCTGCGCGTTACTACTGTGCGCTACCTGCCATCTTAGTAGATGATTTTTGCCACACGTTTATGGGCCTGCTTCCTTCTGCCTCGCGCAAGTTGCCCCGTGCTTCGAACAGATTGCAGTAAACTGAGGCTGCCGGCGCGGCCGCTGGTGCGTCAGCAACGTAAATCCGGCCGCGCCCCCCGAAGGGGGCGAAGAGGCTGCGTGTAGATCCCTCCCACCCGCTACCCCTCCCCTAACCCCTACCCAGCCCCCAAGCATGCCCCAACTTGGGCCCAGTTTTGCGCAAACACTGGAAAACAGTGCTTTTCTACGTTTTTGACGGCTGGAAGGGCGCAAAATGTGGAAACCTGCTTAACAGTGAGGCTATACTGATCCTCATCTAAGCTCGGTTTTGGGTGGTTTTCGCTCAAGACATGAGCAAAACACTGTGCTTTTGACACTTTCGCGTGGGCGCAAGGCCTCGGAAAGCGTGAAAAAAATACGTCTTTTGCGGAAACCTGCTTATTGGCGAGGCTTCACTGGCCCCCGCCAAACCCGGCTTTGGAGATTGCATGGCACGCTTATGGGCCTGCTTCCTTCCGCAAACGTGCCTCGTGATCGCGCAGGCCTAGCCCGGAGGGCTTACCTTCAGGTATAAGGCCGTCCGCCCCATGCCGCAGACCATGCGCAGGACATGAAGGTACGTTTTGCGCTGGGCTCGCCCTTATAAGGGCCGAAGGATTTGTGGATTGGTTTAAGCGATTTTTGTCGCATCTCCTTCTTGGGGGTGCCTAATACTGGACAACACCCCCAGCATTGCCAGCATCATCCAGGATGATGCGGGTGATGCTAGGCAGGCTGGCGATGCGAAACAAGGCGAGCCCGTGCTTTTCCGAACAATTCCTGGCAGGGTTTTTGGTGAACAAGTAGAAAAAACCACGTGTTTTTGAATGTACTCAAGGACACGTTTCTCTCCCCGCCCGGCTGTCAGGCGTAAGCCCTTAATTCCGGGTGGGTAGGCGAGCCCGCGCTTATCCCGGAAACTGAAGGTTTATAAGGGCCGCGCCCCCTGCCGCCGACCCACCCCGTGTCAACTCCCGTCGATTCCGGTTCACTCTGTGTGGAAACCTCGCTGCCAGGGGGGAAAACGTGTTCGGGCGCATTTGTTTAAAAAAGGGTTTAGCATAGCCGCGATGTCCGCATCCATGGCGGACATTGATGCGGATAATGCCGGTGATGCGGGGATCCATTGCGGACATTGACGCGGATCATGCTGTGGAAACCTGCTTAGCAGGCAGGGCTCAACTCTCCCCGGCCGAGCCCGATTCCTTGCGGGGGTTGTCGGTGAACACGTATTAGAAAATTCCACGTGTTTTTGATGGCTCTGTATGGATTCAAGGACGCGTTGTTGCGAAAAAAATGAAAACACATGGAATATGCATGCTTTTAGTGGCGTTCCTGGAAGGTGCTTCGAACTTGCTGGCAGACCCTGCGTTTTCCCATGCTTTTTGGCGCGCGCGAACGCAATCCAATCTTTCGGCGCCCGAATTAGCCTGCTAGCTTTAGCTATAGGGGCTGCACGCCAGAAGGCCCGAAAACCAACGGAAAAAAGCAAGGACCGCGCAGCACGCGAGCCAGCCACAGCAAAGGCAAAGCGGACAGAACAACAGCCCACCGCTCAGCACAGCAGTTTTCGACGGTATTTACAGCGTTTTGTAGAGCGAGGGCCCAGCATCGCCAGCATGCCCGGCAGCGCTTGGCGCCAACATGCGCGAAAATGAGCCTCGCTTATATCCCTCCGACACCTTCTAAAAAAACAGTGCTTCATAGGTTGAGAGGCTTTTTGGAAGGAAGTCTTGATGATGCAGACCAAGCCCCGCTGAAGCATCACCCAGGCCCAACCCCAGACCCTGATGATGTCAGCCACACGGCCTAAACCTTGCATATACGCGATGTTTTGCAATGGTTTCCCACAGGCAAGCAAAACCGCAAGCCCGTGCTGGTGACGCAGAGGTGCCGGATTTAGGCAGCGCATCACGACCAAGTGGCGAGCGCGACCCCACAAAACGCTGCTATATTACGTTGCGTTTGTTGCATTTGCGTTTCCGGGCTGGCTTGCGGGCTGCTCTTTTTGAGCTGCTCTTTCTGGGGCCTCTGGCGCGCGCGCGCGCGACCCCACATCAGCCTTTTGGGTTGGGGCCCGGCTGGGGCCCAGAAAGCTGGCATCCCCGGCATCATCTGGGGTTGGGGTGGGCAACATGCATACCCTAACCAGCCATATCATAGCACAGGATGCGTTTCTCATACAAAAAACATGACATGACATGGTATAACTTCAAAGAGGCGTCGCCGGCTAGAGGCCGCAGGCCCAGAAAATAAACTAAATACGGTGATGCTGTTGGCAGAACCAACTTCCAGGAGTGCTGCATGCGATTGCACTAAATGCATCACTTGAGATAAGATTGTCGCAGAGGTGACGCTGGATATATTCATCTCCTTTCGAAGTCTTCCCGATCTGTAGGGCAACATGTGCCTCCCTCCACAGCATTGCAGCAATCCAGCCTTAACTCAGCTGAGCAGCCATGACTCAGGTAAATCTGAGACACAAACTACTGATGTCTGCTACACAGTTTCCTTTAGTTTTCAATCGGGTCAAAGAGTGTGACGCTGCCCTAGCGCAATGCGCTCGTTGCACATATGGTTGCTCCCAGTGCTTCGCGATGGTGCCAAGATTGAAGCAGACCACATCCGCATTTGCAAATATACATGACAAGAAACAAAGAGAGGCACTACAAATGGAAAACCTCCGTACAGACTCCGCTGATTACGTCTTAAGGGGGGCTTCCTTTTTAGCGGAAAAAAAAAGCACGGCATCTCATTGGCCAACCTCCAAATCGGCCACGTGGCTCTCCAGCTGCCCCCGCAGCGTGTTCATCCGCTGCGAGAACCGGGCGTCGATGCTCCGCAGCACCTAAAATCCGAAATCCAAACACCCCAAAACGGTTCAACCGGTTCAAACGGTTCAAGGTTGAGACTAGACTGATCAAATTCTGATAGTGGAGCCTTGGAAGCTACGATTGTTCCATGCTTGCCTTCGAAAGAACAAAGAGAACAAACACGTCTCTCGGCATCCGTCTGTCGGGAGCTCGACTCATTTCCTTCAGCTCATAGAGTGTATTTCTTCAAAAGAAAGCGGAATCACAGCCCGTCGGAAGTTCAGGAGAAGCTCCTGTCGGATCCTCCAATTGTACCGCTTTTAGAGTTGCTCCTTTTAGAGACTCCATAGCTCCGATTTGGCTGGCTCTTTGCGCCTCGTTGTAGTCCCGCTGCAGATTGTCCATTTCCTGAACCGGCCGCCACGATGACAAAAGGGCAATGCAGCTGTGTTTGGCCAAGGGCAATGCATTTTCACCAACTGCTAAATGAGCGGCAAACTTGCTAAGCCGTCTTTGCAAAGCCGTCCTCCAGCCATCTTTGCGAAGCCTCCGCGCCCGCGGGCGGCCTTCGGGGTGCCGCCCAGACCTGCAAACGTTACATCGATTTCGATTCGATGGATCTTTGCCCTCGATCGATCGAATCCAACGCCCTTTACTTTGCCCATTGCCGCATTTGCCCCACCCCCGACCGGCTGTGGCTTTCTGGCACGCTGAGTGAGCCGAACTGAAGCCCTGGCTACAGCAGAACAATGTACTTTGACGCTTTGAAAGAAAAAATGTACACTGAGAATCTGAAAGCCATGTGGCAGTCAACCCAGCTCACCTGCGCCTCGTTGGCGGTGGACACTTGCCTGGAGACCGTGCGCGGACATTTCTCGGTTTTCATTTCTCGAGTTTGGATCAAGGCCCTGAGACCGTGCGCACCTCTCCTCGGGGCTCGCGGAGCGTGCTGAACTGGACGTCTTCCTGATCGGGGAACCTGAATGGATTTGCGCTTGTTCCTTCGGCGTTGATTGGTCTCAAGTAGAGAAAGCCCTAGTGCTAGCACCAAGAGAAAAGCAAGTCCTCAATGCAGGCTTTCCAACCATTAAAGTTGCTGGAAGCCTCACATCAAGCAAGGTGCGGATTCAAGGGTCGATTTCGACTATATAACACGTCCATTATCCATGAGCCAAAGGTTCCTTTTCCTTTCTTTTCTTTTCTTTCGGACAGATCTGTCATTCGAATCCGGAAAGGCCCCCGTCCTTGAAGACCCCGAGGCGGGCCTCGGAGAGGCCTCGGCTTAGGTCGAAGACAAGCTCTCGGGTCAGCAAACAGCTCGCAACCCTCTCCGCGAAACTCCGAAACGGAAAGCATCGGCCTCGCTACAAACTGCTTGGGGTCCAAAACGGAAAGCCGATGTCAGGCCCCCAAGCCGCAAAGCTCTGCCGCAAGTGCTCCTTGGACAGAACGGTTCGGAACACCACATCGTAGGAACGCAAAAGCATAGGGATGCCGGGTGGGCACATTGCTCTTCTTCCAACCAGCCCCTCTTAAGGCAAATGCATGCAAATGCATGCTGTGTAAGCACAAACGTGCCAAAGCCTAGCTTGACCCATGAAAGACCCTCGAAAGCAAGGGGGTTTTGCTATCTTCAAAACCCCGTACCCCCAGCGAACATCCCAATCCCACTGAAATAGGTTCTAAAATGGGTGGTGCACCTACCCCAACATACCATTGGAGACCCATGGCCAATTCGGCTTGCATCGGAAGGCACTCTGAGTCTCCGCACTGGGTAGCCTCAGGCGGGACCAACGAAGAAGCCCCATGAACAGTTTACCCGTAGCTTTCCTCAATCTAAGTCGCCAGCTGTCATTTGCGCAAACCAATCAAACCCCTTTGCGTGGAGATTTTGCAAACTGTTTCACACATGACCTGAAAATCTGAATGTCCTTGCACCTCGTTGCACCTCGTTGCACCTCGTTGCACCTCGTTGCACTTCGTTGCACCTCGTTGCACCTCGTTGCACGTCAGCTTCCTCTCATATTTTGCCGAGCAGCCATTCACAGCTGCCATGGCCGCGGGAGTTGAGATTGCACTCCGCATTCGTTGCATGCCGTCTATGGTTTTTTCAAATGCTATGCACCTGCTGGAATTGTGCATTCGTTGCAAGCCAGAGCTGCTCGAGTAAGAAAAGCTCCGATTGTCAGTCCACACACCCCATCACAGCTCCCAATCCCAGCGACCCTTCAGCTCAGGCAAACTGTGGGCGGGCGAGGGGTACACGGATCACACCTATACATTCTCCGTCCGCTGGGCATGCGTTCAGCGCGTGACGTGTATAAACGTGGAGTTCGATTCACGCCGAGAGCCCGTCTCCTCCCGCCGCTGCTTCAGGCGCGACTGGTGGAAGAGATGGCAGAAGTTGCAACTCGGCCGAGTTCGACCAGCGCAAAAAATCCGACACCGAAGGCGCACACCGAGACTCCGGCCCAATCGTCCCGTCTCTCGCAACATTTGGCTTACACGCGTCTCGAGCATTCCAAACCTCCCAAACCCAAACGTCTCAATTTGGCCGACATGGGCCCTCCTCTCCCCCCTGGGCACCCGGCTCCCGATCCATCCGGCATCCGCAAAGGGAGAAGCAGTAGAAGGCACAGGGCTGAGCGGGGGGCTGGCCAAAGATCGGGAGACTGCTTTTAGAGCCTACAGCATGGGGAGTTAGGCAAGTTTTTGACCCCTCCATTGAAGCTCCCAGGCTCGTGGACAAGTGAGTCTCAGATGAACCAGAACAACTGACAAAGCCATCAATCGCTTCGTGAGACTCTGCCATTGCACACAGCATTTGCAGTACTGGAACATTGGACCAAGGAAATCCCTTCCAAACCCTCACAACGGTGTAAGTTGATGTGTCTCTCATGTGTGCACGGACATTGGCATTCGCAATAGGACTTTGACGCCGATGAAAACGAACGAACATCAACAACCATCAAATAACGAATCAATGACATTTACAGCAGAAGGAGGTCTGCCAAACAAACCAGGAGACCTGCACACCTTTTCGTCCCCTCTGTTCTCGCCATGGTGCATTGCCCGGAATCCACATCTTTCAAAGCACCCTCCAAGGTCCTTCGCAGCCCAAATAGAAGGCAAGAACAATACACAAATCGCTGACGACTTAGTTGACCTTGGCAGGCAATCGCTGCCACTGCCTCTGGCATGGTAAGCCCGATCTAGGTGAGTCTACAAAAGAGTCACTTGGTGCGGCCTTCGATAGGGGTCAAGAGTGGATCATGTCACATGGGCAATAGGGACTTGCAAGACTGAGGGGAAACAACATAAAATTGACTTGCGTGCAGAGACGTCAATTGACTTGCGTGTCGCATCACTCTTCACCTAAGCCGCACGGCGTCAAAGGTTGTCTGCGTGATCCGTGCTTCTCGCGATCAGCGCACCGCTGACCGGCCTGAAGCATCAAATCAACGTCGGTACATTGGCGAGAGATTGACTGGCGCTGGTTCCATGCAGCACAACACCTTCTGGTCAGACCGCGCCTTGTGACGACAATCCCACCATGCCAAGAATTCTGGGTCGACCATCACAGAAGTCCATATTATGCATGTCAATCCATGCACACACACGGTTCCCTCATCAAACTATAACAGGCAAGCACACTTCTAATTGCAACAAAGGTATGCCCTTCCTGGCACTGGCCCTCAATTAGCTTCTAAGTGGCGAATTGTTTTGCTCGCAAAAAGAATCAAGTGACTGAGGACTCAAAGGTGTTTTCAGCAGAATTCACTGCCAGCCATATGCGAAAAAGCCAGGACTGCAATACGTATCCCAAACACGTTAACAGCAACGAGTTGAAAGCCACCAGTCAAGCGACAGCACACTCGCAGCAATGTAAGCTAACCTTCGCCTCCAAGGCATAACCGAAAAGCTCTATGCTACACGTTTGCCACGGGGTAACTTCCACAGCAAGGTTCAACTCTCCGTCCCTGTTTTCGCAATGGGAAGGATCAAGTGTGGTTTACTGCCTGTCTGCGAACGTCGACCCACAGAATCTGCGCAAAGGGTGTTCGTTTAGTTCGCAAATGGTTGGTCGTGGAAAAAGGAGCGTCGTTACGCGCATGCATTTTGCACACGCTTACATTGCCGATCCACCCGATCGCAGCTCGTTCACACCGCAAACTCAATTGCGCGGAAACAAAGGGATCGGAGCTATAAAACAGCAGATGCCTACACAAGACGCACTGCGCAAGCGATGCAAGGCAAGCAGTGCCATGCAAACCGTACGCAACGCGCTGCGCAAGCAGCGCTACAACACAAGGCAACCACCAGCGCGCAAGTAGCGCCATGCAATCAACGTCCTGATAGGCTCACGGCAGGTAGCGCAGCCTCGACGCTGAGCAAGCTCAAGCTCTGCCAATGAAGTAGCTTGCGCAAGTGGCGCAACACGAGCAGCGCTGCGAAAATACAGCGCTTGCAGCGCTGTGCAAGTTGCGGGCGCTGCGCGCGGCGCATTTCGCAAGTGGCACACCTCAGAGCGCAAGAATCGCATTGCGAGCAGCAGCGCCACGCACATAGAGCGATAGAAGCAGATGCCACTCAAACTTATACGGCGCTCTTTGAAAACCCTCTGTGGCACTTTCTGAAATATGTTCGTGTAGATTCGCGTGTGTATGCATATATAAATGTATATATACCCGCCCCCCATGCATCTCCATGGGTCTGCCGCTTTGAAGGCTGTTTAAGAGATGGAGTGCAGCTGCTATATTTAGACTGCCCCGCGCGACTTGACCAGCATCAGCTCAGCAAATGGATGCTGCAGAGGCGCAGACTGGAGGTTGTTCCTCTGTGAACAAACCGGGCAGTTGGAAACAGGGTCGGGAATTTAGAGCAACTTGAATAATTGGAATAGCGTCAAAAAGGCCGCGTTTCCTCGTTTTTGCTAGTAAGTGAGAAAATAAAACAAGTAGACAAACGAGACTGGAAGGCCCGACAAGGCAGCCATCCCTTTGGGAATACTTAGAACATCTGAAAGAACCAGACAATGAATTGAGAACTCACCCGAAGGCGCCCAGACCTTTGGGGTTAACGACAACATGTAGGGCCACATGTTCTGTAGATCCTTAAACAGTTTTTCCCACTAGAACCCCGAAACGTTTTGTGAGCATGGGCGTGACAGCCCCTTTTGCTCAGCAGAAGAGAAACAGCCCGCATTCGGCTTTGTGGGTCGCAAGCCCTTCTTGCGTTGCAGGTGTAGGACTACTGGGGCGGCGCAAGACGTTATGGACATGATGGAGGGCCAGGCATGAAACTTACGTGCGACTGGGCCAAGGGCTCCGCCAGAAGCCAAGCCGCATGTGACACTCCGCGCCGAAAAGTCACACATAATCATCCCACCTGCCCTGGTGGCCTCATAGTTTATCAGCAGCAATCCCATCCGCCGGTAGATCTCGTCCTCCGGTACTCCCTTGTTGACCTTGCCTGTCCAGAGCCGCCCTCCACATCGCAGAACTCTCAGGATCGTTTCCGCCGCAGTCCTCCTCACACCGCCGACGCGGAACCGACCAGCCTGGAGGTTTGAGGAAACTCCAAGCATGGCTCAAGGTGTCTACGCCGGGGCGGGAGCGCTGGAGAAGTGCGTCTCAGACTTCAGCGGAAGAGCCTGGTGCGGCGCCTGCAGCGGGCCCCATTGTCCAGTTCGGGGATGTGGCACTGGCGGAGGCGGAGGCGAGTTTCCGCAGCAACTATGAGTTCAATTGCAATGTAACTGGCACTTTAGGCTGAAATCCAAAAACCTCGGGAAAGCAAAAAAACAAAGATCGCAGACCCCAAGGCGGGTAGACCCAAGGGGTCCAGGCCTGGAATCTAAGTTGTTTTCATTGTTTTCTGTTTTTTGGTTGTTTGGTTTTCGAGGCTTTGGCACTTTTAGCTGAAATCTAAAGAAACCTCGAGAAAACCAAAACTCACAAATAAACCAGGTTGCAGACACCCAGGCGGTAGACTCAAGGGTCTGCAGTCCTATTTTTGTTTCTTCGTTTTCCCGAGGTAAATACAATTTTGAGTGTCTTTCAAAAACGCAGGCCGCGCAGCGTCCGCTACCTTTAAAAACACTGGAGTTCTGGGATATCGTAACGATTCAATGAACCGGGACGGCGGGAGTGAGACGGGATAACGACGCACGACCAAAAGATCAATCTCCCAAATGGCCAACAACGGGGCAGGCCCAACGCCTCCACCGGGAGACATCGGAGGATTGCGTGAGACAGGGGATCGAACTGCCTCTTCGACGCAAGAGTCCGCGCTCGCAGGACGAACTTGGGAGTAGGTTGAAGAAGCATGTGACACGGTTTGCGTTGAAGGATGATGAGCAAACCATGCGCCGGACGTAAAGCCGGCGGGTGATGAACTTTGCCATGGCTGCAAATGGGTATCAGGGTGTTGCATTAGCAATGGGTTACACCATGGAAGGACGATAATGCTGCTATGTGGTTGACATCGTGAACTTCACACATAAATGCTAAATCTTCCTATTACTTCACCCCAACCAACTTCTGGCGAGACGCTTTCACCGGGGGGGGTCGGTCGTGTCACTTCTTCGATTTCGGTTGACAAGAACTTCTTGTTTTCTGTTTCTGCGGTGCGTGTTTGTTTGTTGCTGGTGCGCGGGGTGTGGGGTGTGGGGCGTGCGTGTGTGTGTGGAAGATTGGCGCGAGTTCTTGGACTCTTTGTTTGTGCGCTGAGCTGTCTTGTTTTGCTGTAGCAAAACCATGGTGTGAGAAGATGTTCGTCTAGCCCTTGGCTTCATCATCTTGCTGCGCCTAGCTGGCGTCCCGCATCGCTTCTCCACACACTCGGCGCTGGATCCTTCTTTCGCAATGCGGCTGCTGTACTTGGACTCCCTTCTGGACGTCGTGCGTCAACCAGCGGACCCCGTCTCTTGTCCTTTGTGTCTGCAGCCACGGTGCGCCCAAAATGCTTGACAGACAATAGTTGGGCGCTGCGCAGTTGGCCATCAAGACAAGCTCTGTTGCAACTGACTTCTCAGGAGGCTGTGTGTTGCCTGCAACCGAAAAACCGACAAAGGCACTAAGGCCCCCCGG